AGAGCTTCTTTATCTTGTAATATGTAATTTTTGTTAGTCCGACACAGGCTTATAATTGTGACTATCAGATTTTTTTTCTTTCGTTCTTACCCTTTCTCCCTTTTTAATATTAGTATTAGTGTTAGTATTTTTTTTCTTTTTTTCACTTCCCTACGAGAAGATGTCATCAGATTGGCGATATTCTATTGTAGGGCGGTGGTCTGATATGGCTTTCTAGGATAGGTGGTCTTCGAATTTATCATGATATGTCTCTTATAGATTTATCTGCCTAGTGCGACAGGTCACTTGAAAGTGCTCTTAAAAGTAACTACGGGATGTCAGACCTAAATATTAAGCTTAAAATATCTTGTCACGCCTGTAACAAGACAATCTTAATAAAGGATCACTGGCAAGACTACCAAAGTTGGAAAAAAAAAAAGTTAATTTTAAAAGATTATATTATAATAGAGTAAAGTTATTTAGTACATATGTGATTGTGGCTTATATATCACCAAGCCAATCAGATTTCAGGATTAGATGTAATATAATATGATCAAAAAATTTAAAATAAAGGTTCGTTTTGCCAAAAATTACTTATAACTCAAAAAACAACATAGGAAACCACCTTTAGTACTCTAACAAAAAGGTTTTCTTGGACGATTTTGCTAATCTTTGCTATTACTTAGCCTTAATATTAATGCTAACCCTAACCTTAAAACTTTTAAAATTCTTATTGATATTATAGATAACAATATTACATATATAACAATTAACTTTTTCCTTATAATATATAGTAATTAATTTAAAGCTTTTCAAATATTTTATTAAAGATAAACTACTATATACTATATTTGATCCTAATATGCTAATTGGCTATTAACATATACCAGATTATATAACTTTATACTACTGATAATCATGTAATTATCAGTAGTACAAAGTCACATGATTTGATACATGTTGTAAACCTGGTACTAATTTATTTATAATATGTATATCATATGATTTATATATAAAAACATACTTTAGGCACAATATGAAAGGCATGCCTTTTTGAACATACCCAAAAATTTTCTATACCTCCAACCCTAGCTTTAACTGATGCAGTAGACCACATTTGGGCATCTAGTAGGGCAGCTAAATGATGTTGAATCTACAGTTTAGATAGTTTAAATATATATATAATATATATGCTTTAATCTAATAAAAATACTGACAAGACTATTAATAAAAAAAATAGACTATTTGTATAAAAACTTACTTTGCAATAAATTTTAATAACAAATAATTCTTAATTATGATTGGCTAATTTTGGGATCAAACCAAATTAACCAATATGTGTTTATTAAAATTTATATCATTGTAAAAGCATACTTTAATCTATATACTATAAGATTTTAACAAAAATTAAATATAATTATAAAAAGTTTAATTAGTAACATCTTCAATTTTTTGATAAAATCAAAAAATACCATGCTAATCATATAACAAAATGATCTACATACACTCTACCTTTAAGAGTCAGTATATTAATATTTTTTTTTTAATTTTAAAAGGTGAAACTAGTATATTAATATTTAAAAATTTAATTATAATAAATAATATAGTTAAACTTTAATAAAAGACAAAACATTTTAGTTTTATATTTAATACTAATGTTTGCCTTTTAATTTAGAATTAAAAATATACTTCTAGCAAATCAAAGTACTTACTTGTTTAAACTTATAAAAAGAGTATAAAATAAGTTGTAAATTTTTGCATTTATTACTATGCTAGTTAATTTTTTTATAGTTTTGGTGGGATTTAATTTTAATTGTTATAAATTTTCTATCAGTAATAATGTATTTTTTTCAAAATGCTTAATAAAGTATATACTTTGTATATAATAGCTTAAAATTATTAGTAGTAAAATGTGTTAATTACATTTAAAGTATTCTTTGATACGTACTAAATAATTTTAAGCCAATATATGCAAAACACTGTATACACTTTATTAAAAAAATAATTTTGTTGCCAATTATTTTGAAAACTAATAATATACAACTCGATATATTAGTAAATTTATTATGTTCAAACATATAATAAGAATGTATGAGCTTTATATCGGATTAAGAACAATAGTTTTTAAAACCTAATATTGCTGTTGAAAAATATATTACATTTTGAAATTTTATGTTCCCTATTAAAAACACGGTTAAATTTTTTTTAGCGTTAGTAGAGATTTATGCAAAAAAATTTTTTTTAATAATAAAAAAAACTCAACATTACTTTTCGTGTGAACTGTAATTAAATTATATTCTTTAAATTTTTTTACGTTAGCAAATTGAATAAATCGAATCTTACTAAAATTCGAAAGCGACTTAACCAAGTTGCGGAATTTACAAAATTTCAATTAAATTTGTAGTTTATATTAAAGATTTATTTCCTATTTACATAATAATTTTTTTTATACAAAGACACAAGTATAATCCTTTCATTTCAAACAAAAGAAAAATACAAGATCGATAAAACAAGAGAGAACCGGATAAAGATAAAATGTGAGCACTTAAAAGAACATTGAATGTTTTTTTTTTGTAATGAATGATCTAACGATGTTGATAGAAAAAAGTGAGGATAAAAGGAGAATGTTGCAGTCAAGCAAATTATAAAGTACCTTAAGTAACAAATCAAATATAAAAAGCTATAGATTCATCTTTTTCTTAATCGTTAAGAGAATGCACAGGTACTGCCTAGCACATTTCAAAACAGCAGCAGGAGAATTATTTGGATTACTACAAAAGTAACCTCTTTCTTTACGAATTAAATTCGGACGTTCTTGGTCTAATCGTACGTTTATATCCTTAACCTGACTATTTGTTGATACGAAAGAATGGATGGCATCACGTGACTTACGTCGCCGAACGTAAAATTCACGAAACCGATAACTGGTAAATACCTACATATACTCTATCCCATCATCACTAAAAGAAACAAACTCTATAGTTTCATTAGGTTTTCCCTGTAATCTTTTTATTGCGTATTCTTCAGCATCGCCATTTTGCCAACCACGACATTTTTTTCCTACACGATAAGCAGCAGTTGATTCAATCATCTTATCCTAATAAATTTAATAAATTTTTTAAAATATTAATCAAAAGAAGGAGCTTTTTAAAAAAAAGGTATTGTAGAAGAGTACATACACTCATCGAAAGTTTAGGTTTTGATTTAATGCGTTTAGAATGGCGTTCCGAAGGAAAATAATCTATAGACTTGATCCATTCTTTTTGTCGATTTGGACCTAAAGGAGAAGGAATATCTGGGACGCAAGAGTTTTTCTTTTCTAAAAGGGATTAATAAAGATGCATGATTAAGATTGACGAATAATAAAAATGCAAAGAGAGACTGTGTAACGAGACAAATGCGAAAAAGGCAACATAAAACGTACGAAGTTTCTTTAAGGTGAGCTCAGAACGGACTAGTACATGAGGTTTATCAGAATAAGATCTTGCCATTGGAAATTCGGATGGAACAGAAGAATCAGAATGAAGAGGGATGTCAAACAAACTATATAGAGCAATAAAATAGGGAGAAAAAGTTATGAACAAAAACACAAAGCGTATATATATACAAAATCCAACGTAACGGAGAATACATAAAAACACAAAGACGTATGGTAAGACAATCCCTGCATATAAAAGGGCAAGTAGCCATAAATAGATAAAATACTCACTAAGCATTAAAAGTTCCATTATTCCCACCATTGAAAACACTGCTTAACGCCGAGGAACCATTCTTAGAAGAGGTTTTACAATTTTTTCTAAGCCCATTACTTTTTCTGGAGATGACATTGAGTATTTTTGATTTTAAATCAGATGCAATACCACCGATTACATTTACTAGAAACCATACGCAAAATTTTATTACAAAGGCACATGAACAAAACGCTGATAAAACACAAAATGTCATGATGGATAGAATGATTACAGAAATTGCGTATAGTTTGCTATTGGAGATTGTCGTAGTTTTTAATGGAGACATTGTTCTCTTTAGGGAAAAAATTGATGAACGTTTAAGCCGTCAAAAGCCGTGAAAAGCCGTTAAGGATTATGGACCGATCGACAAGATATATATAAATGCTCAGGTAAGAGAATATGATTAAAACTTGACGTCTTTTTTTTTTTTTTTTTCTTTTAGAGAAGTAATTTCGTGGAGTGCATTTGTCAGTTGATATAGTAATAATCGCGAGTTATTAAAAACGCAAAGATGTTAACTATATACTTAATAATGAAATTATTAATAGTATTATTATTTTATGTACGAGAACAATCGATGTTTCATAATCAATGCGTTTTATAAAATTAAAAGAAACTCAATTCGGTATTATTAAATAATACATTCTTCTCAAAGGACGTTTTTTTTAGTTAAAAATCCAATTGGATATTTATTTATTAAAAAATAATGGTACATGTGATTCGGTGAAACAATAATGAACCGTCAGTCATTGTAGCATGATATTGCACAATTAAACATACTGGTAAGACTAGTAATATTTAAAAATATATAAATTATATATGAGATGCCGGATTAACCCAAAGAAAAACGCCACACTTGCATTTTACAAAAGTTACGTATAATTCAATCCCTTTTTCAGAGTTCTTTGGATGAATGTGAGAATCAGAACAATATTTTTTTTTAGATTAAAGATATGCAAGTCTTAAAGGAAGTCTTAAAGATAGTCATTTACTTATCGTTATGTAAGTCTTAAAGATACAATAGTCGTTTACTTATGAAAAGATCGACGAGCTAAGTCTTTACACGGACATAAATAAACAGAATTGGAAAATTCAAACCAGAGGACAATACAAAAAAAGTTAAAAGCGTAACACACGTCACAAAGAGAAAACGAATCCCAATAATGGATCATGGAACGCCATCATTTTCGTTTTAGACTATTATATTACTATAATTACTATAATCATTACACAAAAACTCCGTCCATTTTTTCGAGTAACGGTAAGACGACTTTTGCCGCTTGATTTTTATCAAGTTTCAAATTTTCATATAAAATGAATGCATTTACTGAGGATTACAGGATTACTGAGGATAACTTAATATTGTTTAAACTAGGACCTCCTAATCTGATATTGATGTAATTCTTGGCTGTGCGTTTCTTTTGTGAGAAAATCATGTTTCATGTGTAATAGCATAGCGATAACGGATTTCAAAATCAAATCTCAAATAAGGAAACTCTTTGCTTAACAATGCTGATAATGTATTGCTGCATGTGATTAATATCATTCATTTATTTTTAGCGTTATTAAAATTTTCTTATACGTTAAACTCACATTGCCTACGTATTATTTCACGCGTCGATTAAGTGATCGTCTCTATTGATTCATCAATCGTCCTATCGCTATGTAATTACGTATACTGATATTCATCAAGGGGTGTTTATTACAATGATTGTCTACTTAGTGTTATTCGAACTTTGTCGCATTTACTAATTTTCACTCACCTTCCTGTCATTTTGATTGGCTGTACTATGTGACGATCCTTTAAATTTTGATATTTTGTCTTCTAGCAAAGGTTTCTCAATGACTATGTGACTAAGTTTAACAATTTTCCTTTATTTTAATTCTACAAAATCATAGGACTGAAATAAAAAAAGTTTTGTTGAGTTTGACCTGGTAGTTATCGAGAAACATTGATTTAAAGTTTTAAAAAAAATCAAATATGGTTTTTAATATTTATCATAAACGAAATTTCTAGAACTATCGAACAAAATTCGATAAACCTTTTTTTATTTACCAGTAATTCTACAGTCTGTAGAATTAAAGTAAAAAAAATTTTTATCAAATTTGGATTGGTAGTTATTGAGAAATATTGATTGAAAGTTGAAAAAAAATTTAGTCGGTCTCTTTTTTTCTTTACAGATGCCTAAACTTGGAAAAGAAGCTGTGATCAAAAATTTTAACTTTTAATGTTCAAATTCGATCTAAATTTTTTGATTTTAATTTTATAAACTCATAGAACTATATAGTTTTCATAAGTAAAAAATCTATTCCAACCATCCGAATTCGATACAAAATTTCATTAAAAGTTTAAAAAAATTTTGATTGCAGCTTCTTTTTTACAGATGCCTAAACTTTGAACGAAGATTACTCGGCACATACCTGAATAAATTCGATCAAATTTTTTTTTATTTGTGAGATATAATTAAAAAATTTTTGATCAAAATTGATCAGGTATGTGCCGAGTAATCTTCGTTCAAAGTTTAAGTATCTATAAAAAAGAAGCTGTGACTAAATGTTTTTTTTAAATTTTTCAATCAATATTTCTCAATAATTACCAATCCAAATTCAATAAAAAAATTTTATTTTAATTCTACAGATCTGTATAATTTAAATAAAAAAATTTCATCGAATTTGATTTAGTAGTTACAGAGAAATTTTTATTTAAATTTTAAAAATCATGATCGTAATCATACTGTATTTCATGATTTTTGACATTTTTTTTTCCTTCGATTTTTTATTCAGCAAAAAAATTCGTATCTGAATCCTAAAGAAATCTAAGTACAGAATAAAATAGCAGGCAATAAAAAGCTATTTAAGCTATTCGTCACTTAACTGTTAAACTAAATAAGCTACAAAAATTTGGTCCAACCTTTATTTGAATCTAATCGATTTTCTTTATTATCCAAGTAGCCATAAATAGATAAAATACTCACTAAGCATTAAAAGTTCCATTATTCCCACCATTGAAAACACTGCTTAA